AGTAGTTGCCACGTTTGGCAACTGCAGTTAGGTTTTGGTGATGATTTGAAAGGGTCGCTACTGCCCATCTTTCGACTATTAAGCTCCCTTAGTCGCCTCCTACGACAACCGTGGGACAGGAAGGGGTGGCTTATTCTACGCCGGGACCACGCTGCAATGGAAATTACTAAAAATTGTATAAATCCTTAAGATAATCCCTCGCCGTTGATTTCTATTCCGTTCTGTGTGCACTGATCTCCCATGCAGTGTGACACTGACTTAATATATCTTTTTTTTTTTTGCGTCGACAAAGGCAAATGATCGACAAATACACAGCTATGTAAGATACCTTTAGAAAAAAAATGAGCTGTTTAAAATTAATTTACTACAATTTATATTATTGGCAATGTAATTGTCAAATTATTTACAAAAATTATATTTTACAAGAAGAGAGAAAAAATATGTAAGAAATCAGTCTTAATTCCATTTTAACAATCATCTCATGTAACTCTAACATCGTTTCAATGATAATTCTTATTAATTATTCCAAATATTATTTTTAAATTTAATGGAATTGAATGTGTTAACTGGATCAATGATATAACCAGTTAATTATATTCGTAGTTAAATAACCGTTGGCTATTCATTAAAGCATACATACATTTGTATGATGTTTTTTTTTAATTTAGAATTAAGATGTTTATGTATATTGTTTTATTTTATAATGGTATGTAATGCTTGTTGAAGTTATTATGACGAGAAATATACATGTGATTTTAAATATTGATATTAAGAAAATTGAATTTAAAATTCTATCTAAACGACATAGGATGTTATTTTCAAACTTGGCTAAATTTTTTTTTATATATTTTATTCTCTTTCCATAAAACTTAACCCATTATTGTTGTAATGATCATAGAAATAAATTTAGTAATGAATCGATACGTTCAAACGATTAATCGCTTTATATTTGTTATTACTATCAGACTTTAGAATTCTCATCGTGCCTCCGATCGAACTGTTTATAATTACTCCTCTCCATCCAAAGGTTGCCTGCAAGAGATCGCTCTTAGCGATAAGGTCGCCCATTGTTTTCTCATTGTGATTATTTCTTGTAATTGTTTATATTTATAATAAGTTTACTGTTGTAATGTTATATCTATCACACTGTCTTATAGTCGAGCCATATATAGCTTTGTTTACACTTTTATTGAAACATTATAAGGGCATTAAGTTGAGTTCCGATAGCTCAATTTTTAGCACTTTTGCTTTACAGTGAATTTGATCCCTTAAAGCATATATAAAAATGTAAAATTTATCCCTGAATAAAATAATAAAATACAAAATATTATTTTAAACTGTACTGTACATATATAATCTATATTCATACATAACGGGAATTTGACCAACTACTGTCTTTTTTGTCGTTTCTGACAATCGTTTCGACTTACTGGAATACTTCAGAGGGCGTTTGGCGCTTTACGTCACAGCGTCTCGCTTCGTACTGTGGGCTGTTTAAAAATAATATATACCTATATTCATGCAAAGAAATTATAAATTTATTTTTCTACTTTTTATAATGTGTCGGCAGCTAAATGTAAAATTGTTGTTTAGATTTAAACTGTTATCTGATATTGTTAACTAAATTGTAAAACTCTAGTGGAAGGCACATTATTTTTGTAAAAATAAGTGACTTCTCTTATATTTTTTATTAGAATCCATTTGGAAATTAAGTATACGGAATTCAGTAGAATGGGTGTACAAACCCATTGATATCAATTGCATTCCTTGGATAAGCTGATGAATTAAAATATAAAAAAATAAGAAGAATTTGGTGCCTTATCTGTGCCTTCACTAAACACGCCCCTCGGGTTTGCGCATGTTGCATTACGGAGTATTAAATTAATTAGTTTTTAAGATTTTATATCTACATTGTATATTGTTAATTTAGTATAGAAATGTAGTTTCATTGTAAACATGTATAATTAATAAATGTGTATATATTATGTATTTTTTTATTTTATTAGTACTATTTCCTATTACCTACTCTTCTTGCTTAATTTTTATTGAATATGTATTAACAGATAAATGTTAATACACGTATGAACCTCTTTGGTCTCAGGTAGATTGTTTTTGAATTAATAGAATAAAGATTGTCCCAAAAAGACTTCAATTGTGACAATATCAGTTTTTCTGATTTTAAAACATAAACGATTGAATCGTTTTTGATAAGATTCCTATGAGACTAATCTGTCAGTATATCTTTTCTGATAAAATAGTTTTCCAAATTTGCTTTAGAACTTACAAGGTAAGAAACATTGATATTGATTCCAGTACAGTTTGGTTACATACTAGACCATGATGAACATTATATTTTTTTTTATCCAACAGAATTGCAAACAAGCTGACGGCCCACCTGATGGAAAGTGGTAACCGTCGCCTATAGACATGAGTAGTACCATGGACATAACAGAGTATACTGTTTCGTCCATAATAGCCCCCATGCGTTGCCATTCCTGAGGACTCAGGTGTTATTCCTTTGTATCCTATAAATTCACTGCCATATCCCACCCTTCAAACCGAAACACAGCCATGCAAATAACTGCTTCACGATAGAAACACGAATGAGACAGTGGTGCCCAAGCAAACTACATTTTTACAGTCTCCCTTTTTTCTTTCCTTCTTATAAGCGAAATATTCTTGTCAAAATAAAAAGTGGAGGTTGACCTGATAGGTTGTATTGCTAGCATTACTAACAATCCCTTTTCCCCACACTACCAGTAGTTGCCACGCTTGGCAGGCGGGTTGGTAAACGCAGTTAGGCTTTTACATATGTTTTAAGACCTCACCTCTTACGACACCCACGGGATAGAAAAGAGTAGCCCATTATAAGTCAGGGCACACGGTTTTTTTTTAGTTTGATACCCTGCCAGAAATGCATCTCACATGTCGACCCAGGTACTATGTTATCACCGCACCCAGTGTCAGGAAGGAACAGTGTACCCCATCAGATCGATTTCAACGCAGTACCCACCGGAAACCATCGCGGTTAATTCTTGATTTGTCACGTTGGATCAACTGACCTGCAATTGATACCCCTCCAGCGCAGATGGGATCACTATTTCATTTTTAACCATTAACTATAACAGTTTTTTGTCTAATTCGTGCATAGAGACAATTCATTACAGTTTTATGTAGATAGATGTTAAAAAATAATAATTAAAATTGTATTAGACAAAAAACCTGTTCTTTTGATTTCAAAACTAGTGAACTGATTTTGATAAAATTTTTGTGATCAATCTATTTATCTAAGTATACGCATCCACAGTGACGTAACTATACCATTTGGGGCCTGTGGCAAATTCTTTTGATGGGGCCCTATCAGCAAAAAAAAATACTTTTCAAGTAAAATAAAGTACTCAGGTACAATGTAAAAAAAATCTAAGCTCACGGACTCTTCAGCCGGGGCCCTTTTGGTTCGGGGGCCCGTAGCATTTTGCCAGCCCTGCCATCCTATTGTTACGCCGCTGCGCGTCCAGATACAAAAGAATTTTCCAAATCTATTAATAACTGAGTGAGTTGTAAAATAACAAACATGAGTAAAGAACCTCTTTGTTTTTTATGTCCGTTTGAAAAGAATATTATTAGATTTGTGGATAAGTGTCCTCGAGGAATATTCGTAATTCGTCAACAAACACGGAATATGACTCAATTATCTTCCATAAATAAACGTGGAAAGTTTACTGTAATATGTAAATCTTTGAACGTAAAGATAAGACAGGTTTTGTTATGTAAATGAAACGATTATATATAGCTTATATAAATATAGTATGTATTTCAAGGCACTGTAACATTTCCACATAATACTGTTACATAAATTAACAGACATTGTGATGACAAATTAAAACAAGTTATATTAAATTAAAAAAAAAAATTTCGCATGTAATTCTATGGTATTTTCATGTATAATTATGTAATATAACAAATTTATATATCCATATTGCCAATTATAAATTTTCAAAATATGTTGCCAAATAAAAACTACCACATTCTACCGTAGAACATTAAAACATGCAAAATGTTCAAACTAACGACTACTAAAGTAGGGTTGTCGCGTAGCATTAATATTATGAAAAAAATAAATAAAATAACTAAATTAAATCTAAGTTCTTAAATATACTAACAAAATAAGTAAATATGTCTTAAAAATAAATTGGATAAAAATTGCTCGTGTATATTTTAAAAGTTAACAACGGAATGTTTTAAAATACGTAGGCACGGGTGTTCTTACTGTAAAATATAGGATCATATATGCATAATACATTATATGATAATAGATATGATATGCGAGTGTAGATCCAGCCCTTAAGGTTACACAACCACCCGAAAATCTGCCAAGTGTGAGTCATATTAAGTCATTCATGATCAATACACTGCATTCGTAAAAATAAGGATGTACAAAATATATAACGCCCTGACCAAGATTACAGTGTATAGCTCCACATGGGCAAAACTGTGAGGCGAATACTAGTAAATAAACAGATCTGTAAAATATTAGTTCGCTCATGAAAGTTATAAAGGCATTGGATGTAACATAATCAGCCTATCGACCTCAATGGTGTGAAAGAGTGACTTTAAGTCTATAAGGGTTGTGGGTATGCCCATCGTGCCATGGATCTTGTTTATATATGCCTATATAAAAGAAAGCAAGAACCCCTTATGAAAAAAAAAATGTATAAAATATAAGCCTTATATTGTGGTTAAAATGTTTAATTATGCAATTCAATATATGTAATGTATAATTTATATTAAAATTAAATTATAACTTATACTAAATATTATGTACATAAATGACGGCCTTGTAGCAGGCTTCTTGCAGGTACCAACGTGTAGCAAGTTGGATTTTTCATTGTTAAAATCTAATTTTAAATAAAAAAGAATGTTATACAATGGAAATTGCTCGAAAACTGGCAACATTAAGTAGTAGACAGAGGAATATTCGACTTTATAGAGAAATAAATAGATTATAAAATGTGGAATGCAATTAAATGCACGAATAATAATTTGGACCACACGACTTCGCATATAAGAAGCACGCTTTTGCATTTTTTTTTTTAATTTTTATTGCTTTTTACCGCAAAAGCCACTATACTATTTAGGAATTATTTACACATATTTTTACAGCGTAACCAATACGAAGGCAACTGAACACAGTTTTATTCAGTCATAAAATACATAATATCCAATAATTATGTAAAAAGATGTCACAAAATTTTTATTTTATTGTCCAAATACGATGCTATCCGAAGCATTACAAAGTCGTTAAACCAATTTCGTTTTATCACAATTATTTCTAATAAAAATTTTATTCGCCTGTTTTCAGTAAGTCACTGGTATTAAATCCTTCAATTAACCACAATATTCCAAAACCAGAACTCTGTGGCATATACACATATTGCTATGTCAATTAATATATCTAAATACTTTATATTTTTTTTAATGAATGACAATGGAATGGTAACCCCGCCGATAGCGCAGGCGGGGTTGCCATATCATTTTCTACCATTACTAAATTTCTCCAACAATTTAATCATTTAGGTAAATTGACATATAAAAATCTACACAAATACATTGCAAGTCAGTTCAAACATTTTTCGACAGTCTAAACGCAGCCTTATAACCTGAACATAGAAGTTAATTCGTGTCTTATCATAATTTAAGCTTGAAATAATTCTATTTTCACTGTTAACTTTAGTGACGATTGTAATCCGATAATGATACACCTGTAGCTTAATTTACACAAATGGAACCCTACTTCTCCGTTAGGCGAACCCCAATTTTCCGTTCGGCGTACCCCAATTTTAAATTTAACGAATCCTTTCATTTATTTATAGAATTTTATTATTAGGTAAATTTTAATACGTAACTTACAATTTATAGCGTAAATCCTTTAATATGTTATAGAGAAAATACAATAAGTGAGTATGAATAAAAAAAAAATACATTAGAACGCCATCTAGTCGCAAACTAAACAATACTTGAACTATGTGTACAGATGATTGATACTAGACATACTTATATTTTTTTTTTTCAAAGTCTATTTCGTAGGATTGGTAGCAATAGGTGTTTAGTTACAAAATATAACTTGTCGTTGTCGTGTAGTTGTCACAGAATTATGGTAATTTGAGTATTGCGCACTCTGTGTAGTGATTACAATATGTAGAAACGTATTAGAATATAGATTATAAAGATCTAGATGGAGCAAACGACGTCAAAAACGCGCCAAAAAAAAAGTATAACAATTGGGTGACGCGTAACTTTTTTAACACAAATAAGTGTTCTTTTATCGTTTCCATGATTTTTTCCTTGATTGTAATTGTTTAAAAAACTAAATTGTATTTAAAACAGATATTAATATGATTTGATGATTTTTTCTTAGGTATATAATATACTCATGTACATATTGTAAAACAAATTAATATACATATATTAATAAAAATGACGGTCACTTGCAACAAATACACATATCAAGACTTGTCAGTTATAAATAAAAGGAATTTATAAAGAATCTTTCAATTACACATAGTTATTTTTCAAAATAGTTTACAGAGTAATAACTATATATTCTTGTATCTACGTACACATAAATAAAAAAATTACTTGATTTTGGCAAAGCGTTTTTATTGACACACTCCATCTAGTGGGACATGGTCTAGTCTATGTTAGTTTTTTTTATACAACTTAGAACGGCAAACAAGCTAAAGGTCCACCTGATGGGAAGTGGTAACCGTCGCCTATAGACATAAGCAGTACCATGGACATAACAGCGTATACTGTTTCGCCCATGATACCCCCCATGCGTTGCCATTCCTGAGGACTCAGGTGTTATTCCTCTGAACCCTGTAAATTCACTGCCCATGTCCCACCCTTCAAACTGAAATAGTGATATAAGCTATATATATGTATATATAATTTGAAATTATCATAGGTTTTTCGAAGGAAACAATAAAAAGTACCTATCTATCTATTTATATCGTGTAGCATTGATATACAAAAAAACTCAAGATACACAATTAGAGGCTAAAATTTCGACGACAGCAGAGCGCATTCAAATATATAATAATCGATTCCCAGTCTTTACAAATTTACATTTGGTTTATTTAAAAATTTTGTTGTGATAAAGTCGCATCCGAGGCCTTCGCGTACAACGAAGGCGGCTTAAAAACTCAACACTAGAGGGCGACACCTTCACACGAGTAGTTTTGTATCGGAATGTGAATCTAATGTTAATTTTATATGTATGTCGTGTAGTTATAGCATAAGTTATAGGCATGGGTAATATCAGTACCGTTCCAATATCTATATATTGGGTATAAAGGTCAATACCTATTTCGATATCGCCCATACTGGTCGGGTATGTACATTCATTTCCAGACACTTCGATATTATATATTAGACAGTTGATATTCAAGATATCCTTTATCAAACTGATATATAGATACTGTAACTACAGTATATAGGTATTGCTATATATTACCCGTCCTTAACAAGACTAAATATCTAAGTAGAAGTGACACTCCTGTGAATCCAATAATAAATAAATATAACAACGTTGTAATAAATAGCAACGTTGGTGAGATGATTTTAAGATCTAAATCAGCTTGCATCTCGATATTTCGTTAATATATCGTACAATTCCGAATAAATTTGTGACAACCCTATGACCTATGCTCGGTGTGAAGGGACGAGTGATACATTTTAGAGGTATTCTCGATTCATATGTCACTTCTACCCAGTTTATTTAAATATTTAATTATTTTTTAATTACAATTTCAAATTAGAAGTGTGATTAGTACTGGATCGGCTGCGAGAGCCGCTCCACGTAGTTGGCGGGCAGCATGCCGGTGTGTCCGGTGCGAAGGACCTGGCCCGTCATCCAGCCCTCGTCGATGGAGGTCACGTTCGATATGTAATCACCTTCCCGGAATGATACCTGCGGGGACAGATTATTATTTAAAGCTAACAGATAAAGAGATACGCAGTTTTCAATTAAAAAGAAATTTATAGCCATTTCCATCCGACTTTGAAAGGGGGAAGGAATTGTTAGTAATGCGCACTACCAGTCCCATTGCTAGCAACATACCCAGCCAGAACGACTTCCACGAGGTTCCGTTCCCGAGGTTCCCGAGGTTCTGTTATGTCCATGGAGTACCATATACATAGCCCATAGACATGAGCAGTAGCTCATGTCTATAGGCGACGGTTACCACTTTCCATCAGGTGGACCGTCAGCTTGTTTGCCATTCTAAGTTGTATAAAAAATATATATAGATATCCCATGCCTATATAGGACATTTGATGTAGTGATCCACGGAGAAAAGACATACGATAGAACTAGTAGATCAGCGTTTCCCAAGCTTCTTTGTGCCATGCCCCACTTGAACATTTTTAAAATTTTTATGCCCCCCCATACATAATTTTTCCCGACAAAGTTTACTTGACGACGCTAATCGCCCAGTTGATATTTTGGTAACGTCAAACGACATTATACCTAATAAATATTTACAGCATTTTTTTAATTTACTTTTTTTCTTAAAGGCCGAATACTATAATTTTTTTCTTAAAACCGATATCTACTCGTAGCATTGCGTTTAAATGGGCCGGAGCAAGAGGGTTAAAATCGCTTCGAGTCCTTTGTATAGTATTTATATACCTTACTATGGTATGCAGGTTGTAGTGGATGTAAAGTCCAAAGGCGCTTGGTAGTATTGAATATTTTATTATTTTAAAACTATATATAAAGTGACGACGTATTATACGTGCTGAGTGGCGGGAGCGAAAGAGCTCGAACGAACGAGTCAGAGTGACTTTAACTATCCCCCCTTAACTATCAAATTGCCCCCCCGCCCCTGTGGTGGGGCGTGAACCCCAAGTTGGGAAACACCGTAGCAAATAATATATATATATATATATATATTATATATATATATATATATAATATACACCATGTAACATAAATTATAATGAATAATGTTATTTATATAAATATATATACCCAGCGAACTTCGTACCGTCTAATACTGCTATTCGGGGGGAAAGGGACTGTTAGCAATGGGGAGATTAGTCCCCATTGCTATCAATATACCCTATCACATGTCGACTTCCACGTAGTTTCCCCTGGAGACCATCGTGACTAATTTATCGTTGAATTCGTCACGATGGGCTAACTGACCTACTTCATCCTCACTTATCATCCCTTCATTGGTGCCCCGCCGGTGTATACCGATAGCGAAGGCGGCGTTACCATTCCATTATCATCCATTAAAAAAAATACTGCCATTCGGGACGCCGGGTCAGCTAGTAAGATAAAAGAAAAAAGAAAATTAATAAGTCAAAAACACGCCGTGCCAAGTTACTCAGTTGTTTTGCCTTCCCGGAACCTCTCCACTAACACATGAACTTTATGGTATGGTATTAAAGTTCAAATTTAACGAATCATTTGTATCGAATGGGAGTATAGAAAAGTATTGTTTTCAGACTTTTTCAGGTAACTTTTTAAATTTTCCCCTCCAAAAGAACCCTTCTCGTACTTCAATGAACATTCTAAAAAAAGAATTAGCGAAACCGGTTCAGCTGCTCTCGAGATTTGCGCTTAGCAACACATTCAGACGATTTATTTTTATATTATATAGATTATTGTAATATAAATAGTTTATTTTACCATATATGTATGTGTTTCGGTTTGAAGGGTGGGATATGGCGTGAATTTACTAGGTACAGTGGAATAACATCCGAGTCCTCAGGAATGGCAACGCATGGGGGGTATCATGGGCGAGACAGTATACTCTGTTATGTCCATGGTACTGCTCATGTCTATAGGTGACGGTTACCACTTTCCATCAGGTGGGCCGTCAGCTTGTTTGCCATTCTAAGTTGTATAAAAAAAAAATGTTACAGTTTATTTCATAAGTTATACACATTCCTTCCTTTCCCGTAGATGTCTTAAGATGCGACTAAGGGAGGGGCGAGGGATGGGCAGCAACGTCTCTCACAAAACATCCTTTAAAGCCTAACTGCGCTTGCTAACCCGTCTGCCAAGCGTGGCAACTACTGGCAAAACCCCCCAAGAGATGGGTGAAAATGGTATGGTACCCCCGCCTGCGCTAACGGGATACGCTGGCGGAGCACCAGTGAAGGTTGATAGATGAGAATGAAAACAGGCCAGTTAGTCCATCATGATGAATTCATCAGGAATTAACCATGGTAGTTTCCAGGGGGGACCGCGAGGAGGTCGACCTGGTTGGGTATATTGCTAGCAATAGGATTATGTCTCCATTACTAACAATCCCTTTCCCCCCCAAGGGGGAAGCTTATGTTCAGCTGTGGACCGTCAATGGCTGAAATGACGAATGGTAATTATAAATGACTAGCGACCCGTCCCGGCTTAGCACGGGTGGACATTTTTACAACATTTTAAAAAGTGGTTATTGTGACATAACGATAATAGTTGGACATATAGCATATAGTATCGCCAAGTTTTTTATAGTTATCGATATTTTCTTCAATATTGTAGAACATACTTTTGTTCTATCACCAATAGTTTCCGCAGCGCACGCGACCAAAGATAATTTTATAGCATTTTTTTACACCTTGAGTTACGTTACTAGAGTTTTAGTAAGGATCCCTAATCTTGTCTAGCAATAAATTTACCCTATGTTACTCAGGGTGAATGTAGCTATCTAATGGTGAAAGAATTTTTGAAATCGGCAAAGTAGTTTTTGAGTTTATTCATTACAAACATACATACACACATAAAATACAAATCTTTCCTCTTTATAATATTAGTGTAGATGTAGGTTAGTCTACATATCAGCCTTTTTACTGTGTATGTACAAGTGGGTGCACCATTCCATCTTTATCTATTGAAGATACTGTGTATTCTACCTGATTCTGGTTCTGGTGGGTGGGAGCTGGCTTCTGCTGCTCGGCGAGAGGGTCCATGTCAGTCACTCGGCCGATTTGGCGGCTGGCCTGTTGCTGTGGCTGGTGAGACCCTGAAATATTGGACAGGTATGTAAGAATGGGTGAAGAGATCATTAGTAATAGGAACTAACAGCCCCATTGTGGGGGAAAGGGATTGTTAGTAATGGAGTCTAATAAAACCATTACTAGCAATACACTCTTTATCAGGTCGACCTCCACGCAGTGCCCCCTGGAAACCATCGACGTTAATTCTACGAGAATTCGTCACGATGGGTTAACTGACCTGATTTCATCGTCACCTATCATCCTTCACTGGTGCCCCGTCAGCGTATACCGATAACGCAGGCGGAGTCACCATTGCATTATCACCCATTAAAAAAAAATAGCCCCATTTTTAGCAATATCAGGTCGACTTCAACGCGGTGCCAGTTGGAAATCATCGTGGTAAATTTATGGTGAAATCGTCGCTATGGGCCATCAGACCTGACTCCGTCCTCGCCTATGAACCCTCACTGGTTCCTCGCCAACATATACCGACGCGTACAGATGATAGCATTCAAATCTTATCACATTAAAAAAAAAAAAAACTTCATCCACACTTATCACCTTATTGGTAACTTTATTACCAATTTATTATCTCTTTTTAAAAAAATCTTAATCGATTGACACTCTTAGGACAAAAGAAAATAAGGACACAGTCACACCGATCGCCGTGTCTTGATTTCATCCTCACCCATCATCCCCACTGGTACCCCGCCAGCATATACCGATAGCGCAGGCGGGGTTACATTTCAATTTAAAAAAAAAAGTTAATTGACAGCCGTTGGACAAATGCATTAAATAAATCGACGATTGCTTTGTCCTGACTTCATCCACATCTATCATCTCCCTGGATACCCCGCTAGCATATACCGAAGACGCAGGCGGGGTAACATTTCATTTCGTTAAAAAAAAAGTGAATTAATTGACAGCCGTTGGACAAATGCAATAAATAAATCGACGATTGCTTTGTCCTGACTTCATCCACATCTATCATCTCCCTGGGTACCCCGCCAGCATATACCGAAGTCGCAGGCGGGGTTACGTTTCATTTCTTTAAAAAAAAAGGTACCTAATTGGTAGCCGCTAGACAAATACAATAAATAAATCCATAATTGCTTTGTCCTGACTTTGTCCACATCTATGATCTCCCTGGGTACCCCGCTAGCGTATGCTACTAGCACAAGCGGGGTTACATGATATTCCTTTAAAAACAAAAACCTTAATGAATTGAACTTCGTTGAGCTTAAAAGTTGAAGAACTCCATCCTTCTCTGACATTCCACCAACGAACAATATTAAGCAAATATGATATGATCCAAACCAAAACCAAAAACCAATTTGCTGGCAAAAGTTACAAACCTCTCTGTTTCCCATCACTAGTGCTATTATAGATGAGGGTCGCTGACGCCCTCTGCGTGTTCGGTGGCGCCCTCGGCCCATCACTAACTGGATCGTAGTCTTGGATCCTGCCAATTTTTTGATTACCAACCGCGTAGTTCTGCTGGTACTGATTGTACTGATACTGATTCTGGTAGTCATCGTATTTCTGCTTATAGTATTGCTCTTGGTACTGTTCAGCGTTGGTTTTGTAGGCCTCCGTGTTGTTCTTGTACTCTGTGTGCTTGTATTGATCGTACTGACGCGGCTGGTACTGCTGGGGCGGGGGGTACTGTTGGGGCGCGGGGTACTGTTGGGGCGTTTGATAGTGGTTCTTCTGGGGTAAGTTGGGGGGCGCCACCGGCGGTGCTGGTGGTGGGAGCATCTCGGTAGCGTAGTTTTCGAGTTGCTGATGGTAGTTGTCGGTTGCGACATCTTTTAAGTCATGGACAAACAAACATAAAGGTGAAACACATAGCGAGTGGGGAAAATAAAGGACTTTTCAAGCAAGTGTTGCTTTTAATGACATTTAAATTTACTTTTTAACCGACTTCAAAAAGGAGATCATAAATTCAGTTGTATTTTTTTTGTCACTTCATAACACCGTCAGTTGAAAACCGATTTGAGATATTATTTTTTTAACTAAAAGGATATACTTATAGATTGACCCTATAGAAATTTTATCAAAATCGGTTCAGTATAGACTACTTTAAACCAAAATAACTGATTATGTCGTTTTTTTTTTTGTGGGATACAATCTTTAATAGTTATATAAACTTACTATATTTCAGAACTTCAATAGTAATTAATTATTACTATTTTTAATTATTTTTTAACATCTATGTGGGTGCTGTCGTATGTTTGTTCAGTTCCTTTTTTTATGCAACTTAAAATGGCAAACAAGCTGACGGCCCACCTGATGGAAAGTGGTAACCGTCGCCTATAGGCATGAGCAGTACCATGGACATAACAGAGTATACTGTTTCACCCATGATACCCCCCATGCCATTCCTGAGGACTCAGGTGTTATTCCTCTGTACCCTGTAAATTCACTGCCATATCGCACCCTCAAACCGAAACACAGCCATGCAAACACAACTGCTTCACGGTTGAAACACGAATGGGACAGAGGTAGCCAAACAAACTACATTTTTACAGTCTCCCTTTTTTCTTTTCCTTCTTATAAGCGATATATTCTTGTCAAAATGTTGTAGTAGCCAGTTAATTATAACTTTAAATGTCATTAAAACTTATAATGAGCGAACAATTAATGTAAAACACTTGCATCAACAAACAATTCAATAGGTGTAGTCTGTGGTACGACTTTATTTTCCCGCTATGACAGAGTTAGCAACAATTTAATGGACACCATTAGTCATATTAAATGATATAATTGTGTATTGTGACACATATGTATGTAGTAATGAAACTATGAAAGTTGTAGGTATTTTAAATGTGCAGAATCTTAATAATGTAAAATATATATATATATATATATATATATATATATATATATATATATATATATATATATATATATATATATATATATATATATATATATATATATATATATATATATATATATATATATATTATTATAATATACTAGATGACCCTGCAAACGTTGTTTTGCCATATACATTATTTCTAGAAAAGATATAATTAAAGCAAATTGTGGTTGTAAACTGTACATGAAAATTTCTTGTACTACAATTATTATTATTCGATTGCCATCTTGAAACCCTATTGCGGAATATAAAAATCGCGATAAAAAAAATAGGGGTTGATCAAAAAAGGGTCATAATTTGAATTTGTATGTATTTTACAATGCTAAATAATAATTAAATAAAAATAAAAAAAATTGTCAACAAAATAAACAAAAATATTTAGGGGTAGGTCACCCTTATCATTGACGGGTATGAAAAATAGATGTCACATTTTGGAAAACAACACCAAAAAACAATTTTAACTGTGTAACACAAATGAGTGTAATTGTGAGCCAGTGAGTTTACAGTGAAATAACACAGACGGTGACGTTTTAATATATGGAGAAACCCACCGACAAGTTCGCCGTTCTCGTTTATCTGCCGTTGCTTCTCCATTTGCGCCTTCTTCTCCAGTTCGCCGTGATACGCTACATTGCTGATTATTTTCGTGTTCGCTTTGATCCTTAACGTTTCTGGATCGTCGGCAACCTGTTATTAGAAAAGAATAAATAAATATCCACCGGTTAGGGGGAAAGGGATTGTTAGTAACGCGGACTACTAGTCCCATTGCTAGTAATACCCTATCAGATCCACCTCCACCCGGTACCCCCTGGAAACCATCGTGCTGAATTCCAGGTGTATTCATCACGGTGGCCTAACTGACCAGCCTTTTCATTCTCACCTATCATCCCTCACTGGTGCCCTGGCACCGTATACCGTTAACATAGGCGGGGTTACCATTCCAGTATTATTCATAAAAAAAAAAGAATCATCTAACCTGTGTGAATTTTCCCTTGCTCTTTTCAAAATCGGCGTGGTACTTGACATTACTCTGTATTTTCGTGTTTTCCGCTATCCTCTTCAGTTCGGGCGTCTCCGCCATTGTGGTGTGTTTCGCTTTTGGCACATGTCTGAAAAAAATAAAAATAAAATAGTTTTATAACATGTTCAATGTAAATTATGTACTATATATATATATATATATATATATATATATATATATATATATATATATATATATATATATATAGACATTGCATAAAAAATATATAAAAATAGTAATTAAATAATTAAGTAAGGAAGTAAAACATTAAACCGTTTTATGGCCAATAAACGTTCACTATTCTAATACTGCCAAAACACTAAAGAAAAGCGTGAAAATGCATATCTAAAAAGGAAAGCGGGTTTAGACTTTCTTTTTAAATATGCATTATTGTATATTTGCATAACGTTGTGCATCAACATAATCGTTACAATTAGATGCATTATATTAACAATTAATTCAATTTATGTTATACTTAAACGTGAATAAATTGCCATATATGGTGCTTATCGTAATTTTATGTTAAAAAATAGAAAGTTAATAGAAATAATGGCCTGGGCGAGTGAGGGTCGTTTAGTCCGCGAACGCTTCAACAAGTGTGTTCAAAAACATTTTTAAATATATACAATCCGTTTAGGCTTCGGTCATCACAATCTAAGCATCGCATAATCATCATCTCAGCCTTTATCTGTCCACGATACGAACGGTCCTGAGCCAACTGGGTCCGCTGACTCCATGCGATGTATTTGGGATCTTCACTCCATCTAGTGGGGCAGAACTGGACCTACATTGCGTTTGTTCATACAGGATTACCTCTCAGAACCTTTCTTCCCCATCGGTTTCTTCACCAGCCTATGGTTGCATAGCTCAAAGAACCGACACTTCAGCTTGCATTAACTAGGGATCAAGACCAGATTTCAACAGGTCTGTTTAAAAACATTATAAGTGTTTATAACCGTTTATCAGCCTCTGAGTCTGAGCCATCACATAGTATAACCCTAGCTCCTTTGTTTTTGTCACGACAAATCAAACGAACCTAAACAAGAAGGATTTACAATGCGTAGTTAACGAGTTCCTATGGTAACCTTCCATTTTGTCCTTCATCATCAGAACAGCTCACCGGTATCATAATATTTGTTTTGTCATGAAACTTACAATGTTAAGGGACTAAGGGAACGTAATAGTTGAGGCATGGCCAGCAACATCCATCTTGAAACATCACTAAAACCTGATGTTTTCAATTCGCCTGCCAAGCGTAGCCAGTATTGGCAAAACTCTATGGCAATAAGGGGAAAGGATTGTTAGTAATGCGGACTGACAGTTTCATTGCTAGCAATATATCCTGTCAGATCTACCTCCACGTGATCCTCCCTGGAAACCATCGTGCTTAATTCCAGGTTTTTTTTTATACCACTGTGGTGGCAAACAAGCATACGGCCCACCTGATAATAAGCGGTTACCGTAGCCTATGAACGCCTGCAATACCAGAGGTATTACGCGCGCGTTGCCGACCCTGAAGAAACCTCTTTACCCCCTTTTGAAGAACCCCATGCTGTAGTCTCTTGGGAAAACCTCGGTAGGGAGCTCATTCTATAACCTGAGTGTTCGTGGGAGAAAACATCTCTGAAACCGCGTTGTACGCGACCATTTAGGCTGTAAGGTATGAGGGTGAACTCCCTGTTGATGGCGAGCCGTACGATGATAGAAAGTGGCCGTAGGCATCATAATACCAGGTGTATTTATCACAACGGGCTAACTGACCTGCCTTTTCATTCTCACCTATCATCCCTGACTGGTGCCTCGATAGCGTATATCGTTAGCGCAGGCGGGGTTGCCATTCCATTATCATCCATTAAAAAATTCTTTTAACAGAAGGAGACTTATATTCAGCTGCGGACAATTTACAACTGATACGATTACTGTTTGCATGTTTTATATTACGCTTACTTACTACTTTGTGTTATAGTAAAAAGTAAAAGCTAGTAACATATTAATTGTTGAAAATGCGGCGCGTTTCGCATCGCGTGCCCGGCGAGTATGTCCATTCCATCGAGAGTCGACATGCGACACTTTTACCGGTACGCGGAAATGGAACCGGTTTTTTGAGTTTAGAAAAAAAATAATGACTCTAATTTGACGTAATGTTTTCTAGTCAAGAGGGCATATATTAAAGATTTACTAAAAACAACTCATTTATCTAAAACTAACTTTTACTCCCTATTTCGTCCGCATGACCTCACCATCGTCATAATAATCCCAAGAGACTACAGCATGGGGTTCTTCAAAAGGAGGGGTAAAGAGGTTTCTTCAGGGTCGGCAACGCACGCGTAATACCTCTAGTATTGCAGGTGTTTTTAGGCTACGGTAACCATCTACCATTAAGTAGGCCGTATGCTTGTTTGCCACCTCAGTGGTATAAAAAAGAAACAGTTTACTGTCTACTGCTGAACGTGAGCCTCCCCCAAAAGGAGAGTTTTGCCATGGCAAAAGGATACTGTTGCCTATCCCTGTACTATAAAGTTCCCTTAATCGCATCTTACTACACCTACGATGGAAAGGGTGGCCGTATTCTATGTCCGGACCACAAGACAATGTTTATTAATAGGAATAAATATTAGGTCCTTACATATGAAATTGTCGTACTGACCACATTGATCTGAAATATCTCTTCTTTGGTTAAGAATTCCAAATTCAAATTTATAAATTCATTCAGTTGGTACATTTGAGTTTTGCAGTCATTCATTTGTTTTTTCCTCATTATTTTTTTCCTTGGCGTCGTTTATTACCGCACAATGGAAAACATGAAATATCGGTGTATTTACGAATACGAATTCTACTGTGGCACCAGCGCTGCAAAAGAAAGCACGGTACGTTTTTGGTTTCAACGTTTTCGTTCTGGAAATTCCGACCTTCAGAACAACCCAGTGGACGGCCGACGACCAAAGTGGAAGTTATATTAATTTATACAGTACAACAATGTTTTGTTCAAGCTAAACCTCCATAAAATAATTATGTAACAAACATAAACAAAATACAACCGAATTTAGGACTTCCATCCTTTTGAGCTTGTTAGAAAAATAGATTTTTTACTATTCAATACTTAATTGCTGATTTTGCTGGTTTCTGCAGAGTAAAATCTCCTTGTTTGTCATCATTACGTGTCATCATAACGTATAGTGACACATGTTTAAATTCAGATTATCATTAACAATGTTAAGGACATTGTTACTCACTATAGGGAAAACCCGAGTGACTGTGAAAAATGAGATGCTGGGTATTGGGTGGCAGTTGGTATGAAGATAGAAAAAGAAGCAGTGGACAGCTGCAGTATATTGTGGAAACGTAAAACAGACAATGGGCATCATTTTAGAAAAAAAAAATTAAGAAAAAGAAATATTTGAAAGTTGGCTGGTAAAGAATGCTAGTAAGCATTAAATCCGCCTTTTATACCATATACCAGAGGGAGACTTTGTACAAGTCGTTTGCTTGGGCACCTCTGTCCTACTCGTGTTTAAACCGTGAAGCAGTTGTGTTTGCATGGTATAGAGCAGGGGTGGGTAAATATTTTGATAGTCGGGCCACATTGCAGATGAAAATTTGACCCCGGGCCAAACAGTTTTTTTTTTATTTTAATTTTTGCTAAGGATGTCAATTAATGAATTTTAAAACCAACATTTTTGAATCAAAATATTTATTTATCAAGTCATTTGAATAAAAAAAATTAAAAGAAAATTTTTAAGCATTAATATCTACACTACAATTATCATACAAAGCTGTTATTAAAAGTATTACTACCATCAACTATGCTTAATAGATAGAGTCACAAAAAACATGAAAAACAATTTTTTTTACAACACAGGGGGCAAACGAGCATGCGGCTCACCTGATGGTAAGTGACTACCGCCGCCCATGATCACCCACAACACCTACGGCATTGCAGGTGTGCTGCCGGCCTTTTAAAAAGGAATATGCTCTTTTCTTGAAGGTTACGTTGTCGTATTGGTTCGGAAATACTGCTGGCAGTTGATTCCAAAGAGTGTTGGCAACACTGTGGCGATTTACATAGTTTATGTAAATCACTAGTGATTGAATGACAAAAACTAATATTTGTGTTTTTAAAAATAATATATACAATGCTTCAGGGGCCAGACAAAATTCTACTTAATATATATATATAATATAATTTGGAATATATAACAAAATTTAGACCTGGGCAAATGGCGGCCGGATTCGGCCCGCGGGTCGCCATTTGCCCAGGTCTGGTATAGAGGAATAACACCTGAGTCCTCAGAAATGGCAACGCATGGGGGGTATCATGGGCGAAACAATATACTTTGTTATGTCCATGGTACTTCTCATGTCTATAAGCGACGGTTACCACTTTCTATCAGGTTGGCCACCGGCTTGTGGTAGGTGGCAGGAGGGGTTTATTACTAATGGGGTCTAGCTTTAATGACAGATGAGAATGAAAAGGCAGATCAATTAGCTCATCGTGACGAATACACCTGGAACTCAGCACGATGGTTTCCAGGGGGGACCATGTGGAGATCGACCTGATAGGTCCTGACTGCTATTACAATTCCTTTACCTCCACAATGGCACAGTTAGTCTCCGCTAATAACGACCCGAACAATGTAACCTTGCCTCAGCCGAATAGCACAGATCAGCTCCGGCCACTTTCACGCGGGCGATATGCGTAATACAACGATAACCGGGTCAATTGCTTATTGTTTTGTTACATTCGATTTCTTGGGTACCTCTGTCCCATTCGTGTTTCAACCGTGAAGCAGTTGTGTTTGCATGGCTCATGTCTATAGGTGACGGTTACCACTTTCTATCAGGTGGGCCGTCAGCTTGTTTGCCATTCTAAGTTGTATAAAAAAAAACATTAATTACTAGCTTGCCTGACAAACGTTGTGATGTCAAATGCGCGAAGGTAAAGCTATCTGAAATTCTCCATCAGCTTGTTTGCCATTCTGAGTTGCATAAAAATATTTCAAATTTTCTTAATTTTTTAATCCGTCATCACCTTTTACAAAGTATTAGAAAACATAAAGAGAGATGAAAGAAATCGGTTAAATCGTTCTC